GAGGGGGCCAGGAGGCCAAGGGAGGGGGCGCCGGGCCGGCGTGTCGCTGGCCGGGGAGCAGCACGCAGGCCGGGGCCGGCGTGTCGAGCAGGAGGCCGGCCCCTCGGGAGGAGGCGCGCCCGCCCTCCCCGCCACTCGGTTCTTACCGACTACAAACGCGACTCCGGACGATCCGACGGGACCTTTGGTGCAAAGACACCGCCTGACACGCTGAGGGCCAAAAAGGAAGAGTTCTTCGGGTTAGGCAAAACTTTCCCCTTCCTTTCTTCGCCGGAACTTTGGACAGTCTCGCGAGAGCTCTACTCGGTGTCAGCCCCCCGCCCCCGTCTGCCCTCCAGAGGGCGCAGAGCGCAGGCGCACAGTCTTGCCTGTGCTCCGGGTCACAGTCCTTTCGCCCTCCCTGAATAAATTAGAACAAATGAAACAAACATTTGTTGAAGGCACGCTTTGTACCGAGTAATATCCTGAGTGATCTGGTCACATCAAATGTCCTCAAAGGCGCTGTTACTTAGCCTTAGCGTACAGATACAATAAATGTCAGAAGACAGCCCTAACCGGTTTGGCTCAGTGGATAGAGCGTCGGCCTGCGGACTGAAGAGTCCCAGGTTCGATTCCGGTCAAGGGCATGTACCTTGGTTGCGGGCACATCCCCAGTAGGGGGTGTGCAGGAGGCAGCTGATAGATGTTTCTCTCTCATCAGTGTTTCTAGCTCTCTATCTCTCTCCCTTCCTCTCTGTAAAAAATCAATAAAATATTTTTTAAAAAAAATGTCAGAAGACACAAAAGGACAAATGCTGTATGATTCCACTTATACGAGGTACCTAGAGTAGCCAAATTTATAGAGACAGAAAATAGCTCGCCACAGGCTTGGGAAAGGCGAATTATTGTTTAATGGGCACAGAGTTCCATTCGGGATGATGGGAAGTTCTGCAGTCTGGGACGGCAGTGACTGCACAGCAATATGAATGTAGTCAACACCGCTCACCTGTGCACTTACCAGTGGTGAAAATGGTAAGTTTTATGTTATGTATATTTTGCCACAATTTTTTAATTCAGTAAATAAATGTTAGAGCCCACATTCCAAGCCACATCATCTGACTACAAAGCATATATTTGTTTGCAGCATGTCTCACGGCAGCTTTCTACCTCCACAGCCCACCACTGTACAACCCCTCACAATCTGCCTCGTGTGGCATTATCCACATTGGAGTGTTTTGTTTGCTTATGTATTTATGACCAGATGTTAAAATGGGAATCCTTCTGTCCCTGTTTTGACAGATGTCCCCAATTCTAGGTGCTAACTGTGCCCCACCTTTCCCAGAAAGATGAAGGGCTATCTAAGTAGAATTTACAAAGGAGGTGACCATGATCGGGTTTTGTGGATCCCACCCAAGGGTGAGTCCTACAGGGAGCAAGGCAATCTCAGCCAAAAGCAACAGGAAAGAGATTCATATGCAGACGCTCGTCTTTAGGTGGAAGGGAGCTGCGGAGGAGAAGGAGCAGTAGAGACTGTCAGAGAGCCGGTGAGGAAGCACTCACCTAGCACTGCCACAGCCCAGGCAGCCAAGACTGCACCGGACCCTTCACTCACCCCTTCCCCATTTCCTTTTCGATTCAGATGCAGATTAACTAAAAGTAACCAAAGCACTTTTAAAAAATTATTATCTTACGGTGGTCCTTAAAAAACTAAGGGGTCAGCCCAGGATTGCTCAACTAGTCCAATAACATGTTTCAAGAGATAGGATTAGGGTTCAGAGGAGAAATAAAGCTCTTTACCAATTGTCCACAGATTGTTCAACAGAGGACTGTTTGCCTGCTTATGCTCTGTCACATGCCCACACAAAGGACTCCAAGACCCAGGAAAGCAGGGACCTGGTCTCTCTGGTTCATTGCTGTATCCCTGGCCCATAGCACTGCCTGGCCCTGGCACTTAAGAAAGACCTGTTGAGTGAACAAATGTTCTCTAACACAGAAGCAAGAGATGATCAATATTGTCACTGTATTTTTTTAATATACATATTTTCATTGATTTCAGAGAGGAAGGAGGAGGGAGAGAGAAATAGAAACATCAATGATGAGAGAATCATTGATCAGCGGCTTCATATACACCCTTGACTGGGGATCAAGCCTGCAACCTGGGCATGTGCCCTGACCGGGAATCGAACCTCCTGGTTCATAGGTCAATGCTCAACCACTGAGCCACGCCAGCTGGGCTGTGTTTGTTTTTTTAATTTTACCTTTGTAAATTAAGATGTTTAGTGGGGTGGGTTTTTTTTTAATGTTTTTATTGATTTGAGAGAGAGGGGAAGGGGAGAGAGAGAGAGAGAGAGAGAGAGAGAGAGAGAGAAACATTGATAGTCTGCCTCCTGTAGAGTCGCTGAAGGAGAAATGGAAGAGGCCAAAAAAAGTAAAGAATTATGAAATGATTAGGTCATCTGGCAAACCAGATGGGCTGAGCCCCAAAATGGCACCAGCACCCAGGAATGAGGAGTCAGAGATTTTAAAGGACTCTAGGCAGGCTTTTTCTGGGCAGAGAATTCTCTGGTCGGGTCCTGAGGCAAAAGATGAATGGTCATAGCAAGTGGAATGTGGTCTATGCAAAAGGAAGTGTTGGTTGTGAAGTGGTCTAAAGGTTAGTTCCCAGGGGAGGGAGTGTTGATTCAATTATTTGATCAGATCTAACACCTACACATTGGGATGGAGCCATGCCCGGACCAGAATCCAACTGGTGACTTCTCGGTGCATGGGACATGATGCTCAACCGACTGAGCCACACTGACCAGGGCAACATTGTCACTGTTTAAGTGCTTCAGTTTTGCAGGAGTCTGTATGCAGCTAGAGGTGAGTGACTGGAGCCCTGCACTCAAGCCATTCTCTCAAGCCAGGACCCCTGGCCTTTCAAGACTCCGTCAGGCTGCATGTGGTCCCAGAGCTACTCCTTCCAGGCTGTCCTGTTCTATCTTACCTGCTCCAACCTCAAGCAAACAGAGGTATATGAGGGACACAGCATGGAGGACATTCTCTATAGAAGAGGAAGGAGCCCGGCCAGTGTGGCATTGTGGTTTAGCTTCAACCTAAGAACCAGGAGGTCACTGTTTGATTCCGGTCAGGGCACATGCCCAGGTTGCAGGCTCAATCCCCAGTGGAGGGCATGATAGGAGGCAGCCTACCAATGATTCTCTCTCATCATTGATGTTTCTCTCTCTCTCTCCCTCTCCCTTTCTCTCTAAAATCAATAAGAATATATTTTAATATATATGTATATATATATATATATATACATATATATATTTAAAAAAAAGAAGAGGAAGGAAGAATAAATATGAAAAACTCAAAGAAAATAAGGGATCTGATTTCATTTTGAAGACACATTTATTTTTTAAATTGTTCGCGAGATAGCAGGACACCAGGGCAGCAGAGTGCAGATACTATATCAGAAGCAACAGAAGCAGCAGTACTTAAATGGGGATGTATAATGATTTATTGGAGTATAGGAAAAATATAACTTTATTCATATTTATTTTTTCCCTCTTAAATGTTTGAACGCTTTATAATGTGTATAAAAATCAATGCACACATAATTTATAAATTGCAAGTATACACATATTCAAATGTTTGCTCAATTGTTAATTATTTATTTTTTTTTACGAACAGGTAGGGTTATACAATCATAGACTGTTAGAGGCCACAGGAGAATGAGGCCTGGCCTTGGAGGACTGGAACCCCTCTGGCTGGGAGCCACGGGCCCACTAGAAGCTCATTACATCACCCATTGTTCGACAAGACAAGTCTTTTTTGGATTCTTTTTCTCCACCACCGTATAGGTGCAGGTCTTCTCGTTGAATAATTTCTTGCATTTCATTTTGCTAAAACCCACAGGTATAGCAACACTGCCATTGAGACAAGAGCAAAGCCAATTAGAAAGGATAAGATATCGACCCTAGCCATTATGCTCAGAACGCAAGAACATGCAATAGAGTCAAGACAATCTCTTCAATAAATGGTGTTGGGAAAATTGGACAGATACATGCAAAAAAAAAAAAAAATGAAACTACACCACCAACTTACACTATACACAAGAATAAACTCAAAATGTATAAAAGACTTAAATGTAAGTCATGAAACCACAAAAATCCTAGAAGAAACCATAGGCAGCAAAATCTCAGGCATCTCTCATAGCAATATGTTTACCGATACATCTCCTGACCTAGGGCAAAGGAAACCCAGGTGAAAATAAACAAATGGGACGACATCAAAATAAAAGGCTTCTGCACAGCAAAGGAGTAAAAAGGGAGCCCACTGTATGGGAGAACATATTTGGCAATAATACATCTGATAAAGGGCTAGTATCCAAAATATATAAAGGAACTCATACAACTTAACAAAAGGAAGACAAATAAACAATTAAAAAATATACCCTAACCAGTTTGGCTCGGTGGATAGAGCGTTAGCCTGCGGACTGAAGGGTCCCAGGTTCCATTTCGGTCAAGGACATGTACCTTGGTTGTGGGCACATCCCCAGTAGGGGGTGTGCAGGAGGCGGCTGATCGATGTTTCTAACTCTCTATCCCTCTCCCTTCCTCTCTGTAAAAAATCAATAAAATATATATATTTTTTAAAGTTACATTGTTTTAAAAAAATGGGCAAAAGACCTAAATAGACACATCTCCAAAGAGAACATACAGATGGCCAAGAAATATATGAAAAAATGCTCAAAGTCATTGATTATCAGAGAGATGCAAATTAAAATGACAATGAGGTATCATCTCACACATGTCAGAATGGCTACCATCAACAAATCAACAAATGACAAGTGCTAGTGAGGATGTGGAGAAAAGGGAACCCTAGTACATTGCTGGTGGGAATGCAGACTGGTGCAGTCATTATGGAAAACCGTATGGAATTTCCTCAAAAAATTAAATATGGAACTGCCATTTGACCTAGGGATCCCACTTCTAGGAATATATCCTAGAAACCTGAAACACCAATTTTTAAAAAAGTATGCACCCCTATATTCATAGCAGCACAATTTATAATACCTAAACCCAAGTTCCCATCAGTAGATGAGTAGATAAAAAAAAGCTGTGGTACATTTACACCATGAAACACTATGCAGCAGTAAAAATGAAGGATCTTTAAGACAGCACATAGTGACCTGGAGAGTATCATGCTAGGTGAAATAAGCCAGTCAGAGAAAGACAAGTATCACATGATCTCACTAATGTGTAGAATCTAACAAACTAAACTGATGAAGGGAGTGGATCAGAGACATGGAAGCCTGGAACAGAGTGCAGAACCTCAGAGGGAAGGTGGGGGAAAGTTGGTGGGTGGAAAGTAATCAACCAAAGACCTTGTATGCATATATGCATGACCCATGGACACAAACCCTAGGGCGGGGTGGGGGGCGTGGCTGTAGGGGGCCAAAGGGGGGAAAAGGGGACATATGTAATACTTTCAACAATAAAGTTGTTTTTTTTAAAGATAGGTTTGTAAAGGCCTGGAGTGGGGGGCGGGGTGGGCTAAAGGGGTCAATGGGGAGAAAAGGGAGACATATGTAATACTTTCAATAATAAAGATTTAATTTTAAAAAAAAGCAAGGATAGGATGCCCAGCCTCCTCAGGGCCAGCTCTCTGCCAGGGGCAGCCCACACTCCAACTGTCTAGGGTGCCCCTCAGTAACTTAAGATCACCTTTTAGTTTGCAACCCCAAAGTGCTGACTTCAGGAGCCTGGATTTGAACACATAGAACTTGGTCTATGAGCACATAGACCACCCCTGACATCGTTCCTAAGTTCCATCCTGCATCACAGGACGAAGTAAGCTCTGAGAGGCCCAAATGCACGCCGGGCTACTGGGGCCAGGCAGCTTGTTCTAACCTGACTTCTTGTCGTCCTGGCTCAGGAAGTGGCCAGCAGTTCTGCTGCTTGGATGTGGGAAGGGAAAGATTGTCCATTCTAATTAGCATAGGAGCTGCTAAGCCAACAGGAACAGAGAGTCGCTCCAGGCCAGGATCATGGAGCCCAGGAGCAGCTAATGAAAACTGGGGACCATCTCCCCAGGAAAGCCCACCCACACATTCAAGGGTGCAAACAATGCTAGGATTCATCACTCTCTTGGAACGCATGAATCCGAGCTGTAAATGGCCCCTGCCCAAGTGTACACAGAAGCAGCCGTCACCGGGCCCTTTGTGAGAATGCCTTTTTCCAAAAGGTGACGTTGGACTTATTTTAACAGAAGAGGATAGTTCAGTCCTCCTCCCAAAGGGTAATCTGTAAGCAAAGTGAGGACTGGAAAGAGATTCTCCAGGGCACCTGGGGTGGGGACCTTGGCAGTGGGGAGGCCACTGAGCAGCTTGAGATCTGGACCGTGTCCCCTAGAGAAGCAACGGGTCAAAAAATTATCCCAGAGAAAATTTAATCAAAAGCTGTCTTTTGCTATAGAAAAAGAAATGATGAAAACAACTTGGTGGGCTATGAGGCAATCACACGGAAAAGGAGTTGTCTTTGAATAGTAGAGAGAACTGTACACATTTCCTCCCTGCGGAGCAGTGTGCTAAACGGGATAGGCACGTGGAAGGAAAGAGAGAAGGGACACTTTGCGTTCCTACTAGGTGTTCATTACTGTCCCAGGCTCAGGGGTCACAGACTGGCATAGAGAAAGCATAAATATGTGTTGGTTTAATATATGCAGAATCTCATTAAATTCTCATGGACACCTGACTATCCCTATTTTATTGTGAGGAAACTGAGGCTCAGAGAGATTAAGAATTAATCCATGCCTAGCCGGGGCATGGCTCAGTGGTTGAATGTCGACCTATGAACCAGGAGTTCACATTTTGATTCCTGGTCAGAGCATATGCCTGGGTTGTAGGCTCGATCCCCAGTGTGGGGTGTGCAGGAGGCAGCCAATCAATGGTTCTCTATCATTGATGTTTCCATCTCTTTCTCCCTCTCCCTTCCTCTCGGAAAGCAATAAAAATATATTAAAAGAAAAAAAAGAAGGAAATAGTGCTGAAAACGAAACCACTTCAGAAGGGGATTTTGAAAGAGAGAGTAGCTGCACCTCAGGAGCAGCCCAGTAGCAGCTGCACCCCCTGTTGGCCCTGCTGGCTGAGACTTACATGTTGCAGCAGTGGATTCCAGTTGGGTTACAAGAACACTCCTCACATCTCTCATTCTTCCACTTTGAGTTCATCGCGTAGGTGACTCCACCGAGATCCTTGCATTCTAAAATAACACGTGTGGCAACATCAGTGGTGTCCTCCGGGCATACAGCTGGAACAAGGCTTGTAGGACACTGTGGCCAGCCCTGCCATCTGTGCCCCTCCCAGGGAGGGAAAATCTCGTCCATTTAAGGGTGTCTAAGAAAAGTGCTTCTGTGGTCTGGCTGAACATTGATCTATGAACCAGGAGGTCCCGGTTTGATTCCCGGTCAGGGCACATGCCCAGGTTGGGGGCTTGATGCCCAGTGTGGGGCGTGCAGGAGACAGCCAACCGATGATTCTCTCTCATCATTGATGTTTCTATCTATCTCTCCCTCTTCCTTTCTTTCTAAAATCAAATCTATTTTAAAGAAAGAAAGAAAGAAAAGTGCTTCTGTGGTCACCCACAGCTAAATTCCAGTACTGTCCAGTTCATGTCACCGATCATGTTTTCTTACAGCAAGCTTAAGTCCTTCCAGATCTTATTTCAGAACAAATATTACAAGAAAAAAATAAGGCCTTTCTCTTTTATCAGGTAGCTATTATGATCCTAGGGGCACTTGGAGCCAAGTTCTTTTGGTGTGTTTTTTCTGCTGGATTATCTCTCGATAAATGTTTCATTTTACTACTTCTCTTTGCTTTGCTTCTCAACCCTAACTGCACATGTAAAACATCTTGGGCATTTTAAAGAAATTAATGCCTTAGTCTCACCTCAGAACAATGAGTCTCTCTGGCCATGAGGCCCAGGCTACCATATTTTCCCAAAGCTCCCCAAGTGATTCAAATATTCAGCCAGGGATCAGAACCACTGCTTTAAACCTTGGTGGCCCAGGTGAGCTGGAGGAACTAGTAGCATCAGCACTACCGAGGCTGTGTTGGACATGCAGGCCCACAGAATCGGAACTTCTATTTAGCAAGATTCTCAGAGAGTTTACGTGTACATTGAAGTTTGAAAAATACTGCTTTGGAATATTGATGGTTCTTTGCCTGCGTATAGGGGTGAATCCAAAAGCGATTAGATGTGCAGCTCCTACCCCAGAGATTCTGATTTGCCTCATATTGGATGGCTCCTGAGCGTTGGTAGGTTTCAAAAGCTTTTCAGGCAATTCTCCTACACCTCGGGTTGAGAAACACTGTCTTATACAGTGACAAATTGAAGTCTCTCATTTAACTCTATTGATATCCGTCCTAACCCTCCTCCTCATGTTGATGTAAAGGCCTTCCTCTGCCAACAGGTTATACCTACCAAGCTGCAGTAAAATAACACACTGGAAAAGCTGGGACTTACCCTTAGGCAAGTTGTCTGGAGAACCTTCAATAGGTATGAAATAGCACTGGGCATTGCATAACATCACACAGCTGGCCAAGACCACAAGGCTTCCCAGGAGAGCATTCTGCAATGTGAAGCAGCGTCAGGAAGAAAAACAGACTGATTCAGACGGTGATCATTGACTGAGTGTCCTGCATGAGGATCCCTGCTGGGCTCCACAGGTGGGTTAAAGGTGGCACTTCAAAGGAACAACAATCTACACAAGTTATTAAAATAAACTGGGGGAAAAGCTAAATGTGAGTCAAAGTCATAGACCAATAAAATAATGATAATGTGCTATATTTTTTTTAAAAAAACCTCACCTGAGCATATGTTTTTATTGATTTGAGAGAGATAAAAGAGATAGAGAGATAGAGATAGAGATAGAGATAGAGATAGAGATAGAGATAGAGATAGAGATGAGAGAGAGAGAGAGAGAGAGAGAGAGAGGGAGAAACATCAATCTGAGAGAAAAACATCTATCGGTTGCCTCCCCTACACCCCCTGACACCAGAGATAGAACCCGCAAGCGAGGGATGTGCCCTGACCAGGAATGAGCCTGTGACCTTTGGATGTATGGGATGACACTCCAACCAACTGAGCCACCCAGCCTGAGCATCGTGTGTTATTTTAGTACCAAGGAAGTTCAGAGGACCCTTTCGGATTGATTTTTTAGCTGCTTTGCAGAGTGTGTATAATTCAAAGGACAGAAATGAGTGTGTGGAGAAGAGTTTTAGGAAGATAAAACATTGACAAAAAGATGAAGAAAACACAGTAGGAGACTTGATGGAACTACTGAGTTAGTTGGCATTCCTACTAAGAACTTCACTTTCCAGATGATAACTGCATTGTTGATGGCTGCATGAACACATCAGTTCATCTAGCTGATACCGAATCTGCAGGACAAAGAAAAGTATCAAGTTGCTTTTGTCATCATTTTGAGACGAGCAAGCCAAATAAACAAACTTTAACGTGGGAATTTCCAGGAACCTTTTTAAAAAGAGGATGGGGCCCGGCTGGTGTGCTCAGTGGTTGAGCGCCGACCCATAAACCAGGAGGTCAATGTTCGATTCCCTGGTGAAGGTACATGCCCAGGTTGTGGGCTCGATCCCCAGTGTGGGGTGTGCAAGAGGCAGCTGATCAATGATTCCTCTCATTGTTGATGTTTCTATCTCTCCCTCTCCCTTCCTCTCTGAAATCAATAAAAATATATTTTTTTAAGAAAGGAAGATGGGGGGTGAGGGTACTTGTTCTGTAAGATGTCTAAAATTAATTATGAACTGATGCTACCTAAAGTAGTATGTTATTAATATAAGAATAGAAAGACAAGTACAGGGAACAGCATAGAAACCCCAGAAAGTATATTTATAAATCCATATAAAAGTTTATTATAAGATAAACTCAGTTTTTGAAATCTGTAGAGAATTATTCAAAAAATGATATTAGAACAAATGGGGGGATATTTTGAAAGGAAACAAAGTTAATTTTCTACTTTAGTTCCCACAAATAAATTCTAAAAGAATTTGATGGTTAAACTTTTATAAGATCATAAATTAACTTTGTACGATGGCAGATACACCTGAAACGAATATAATATTGTATGTCAACTGTACTTTAATAAAAAAATTTTACGATCATAAACGAATCACAGAAAATATAAGTAAATAATAATCTTATTCTAAGTATTAAAAAATAAATAGCTTTGAAAATGTAAAAGTTATAAATCCATAAATAAAAGTTAAAAATAATTACCAAATTTGGAGAACAACATCATCATATGAAGAATTTCTGTATATCAACAAGAAAAAGAAAAACATCCTAGTAGAAAAATGACAAAGAAAATAACACACATAGCCCTGACCATTTGCTCAGTGGTTACAACATCAGCCCACACACTAAAGGGTCTTGGTTTGATTCCTGGTCAAGGGCGGGTACCTGGGTTGTGGGTTTACTCCCTGCCCCGGTCAGGGCGCAGGCAGGAGGCAACAATCGATGTGTCTCTCTCACATCAATGTATCTCCTCCCACCCCCGCCCCTGTCCTCCCTTCCACTCTCTCAATGGAAAAAAAAAATATCCTCGTGTGAGGATTAACAACAACAACAAAAGATAAGACAATAACACACATATACAAATAGAGATGATGAACAAAGACATGGAAAAGTTCAAGTTACTGCTGAGACCAGAAATGCAAATTTGTACATAAAATAGAACCATATGGGATGACAAAAAATAATTATTTCATTTATAATATCCAGAGTGAAATAAAGGCATATCTGAGAAGTGAAATTCACAAGGCTGGTTTATGTTTGAATAATCTTTATGGAGCACAACTTAATAGTATGCATCCATATTCGTAAAACTGTTGACAGCAGCCCTGGCCGGTGTTGCTCAGTTGGTTGAGTACTGATCCATGTACCAGGAGGTTGCTGGCTTGATTCCTGGTCAGGGCACATGTCTGGGTTGATCCCCAGTAGGACCAATAGATATTTCTCTTCGATGATGTTTCTATCTCTCTCTCAAATCAATAAAAACATTTAAAAAAAACAGTTACAACATTTGACTTCACCCTTTCACTTCTAAGACCTGGTCCTAGGAATGACACAGAGAAGGACTTAGACTTCGCCTCTTGGATGCTCACTGCAGCAGGGAAATGAATCAACCAAAATTCCCCCAAAACAGGGCTGTTTCAGGGCATGGTGACTCCAAAAACAGAACTGGTCAACTTAGGAGATAAGAGAATATGAAATGACATAAATGATCACTATTATGACTACGTTAAAGAAGGCAGGTATTCCTATGATGTGGAAAAGATCCACATAGAAGGAGATGCTCAAAAAGAGATTACAGTTTTTGTACCAAATTTTAACAAGTGATTTTTGAGCTGTGGGATTTTTCTTTGGACTTTTCCTCTTTTTTTCTAAATTGCTTATAATGAAAGACATTAGTTTTATAACCAAAAGAAATAAATCAATTCCTATAATAAACTCTCAATATAGTTAGCTCTCATCAGAATGAGAGGTTGCACCTGCTCTCTCTGTTTCATTCTTTTACGTAAGCTTCAGCTTCAGATCATTGTGGAAACCTGAATTTTTTTCTCAAAACAAACAAACAAAAACAAAACAAAACAAACAAATGAAAAAGCCTGTCTTATCGGCAGAATTTCCACTCCCTTCATCCAGAAAGGGGGCTCCTGAGAGGTGCTGGTGATCACAGGAATGTTGGAGGTCTCGTTCTATCAGATAGAATCTATCTAGTCACAGAACAGAGGCACCAGTGGGCACAAGCCAGGGCTGCAGCCCAGGGTGAGTGACGGCTGCAGAATTCCCGGATCTTCTGCTGCTCTGAGCGGAGGAACCCAATCGAATGACTGAGAGATGGAGTCCAAACATGGTGACAAGAGAGAGCAAAGTATTCAGATTTGAGATTAACCAGTTGATAGTATCTCACATATAGCCTCCATATCCTCTCTCTCTCTCTCTCTCTCTCTCCCTCTCTCTCTGCCTCAGTTTCCCCCCTGTAAAAACAGAGGTTCTCCCATGTGGGTGGGCATCAAAGTAACCCAGGCTGCCAATCATGAGCACACAGTCTCAATCAAGCTCATTGGAGAAGGACATGGCCAAGGCCTTTGCGTCTTTACCAAGTCCCGCAGGTGAGAAACACAAGAAACAATCAAAACTAGTGCTTCTTTAATGTGGATATGAATCCCTGGGAAATTTTGTAAAATAAAATGCAGATTCTGCTTTGGTGGAATCAAAGAGTCCTAATTTCTAGCAAACCCTCCCCCTCCCTGCCAGGTGATGCCCATGCTACTGGGCTGAGACCACCTGAGCAGAGAGGCTCTCAAGTCCTTTCCTGATCCCATGTTCTATTCGTTCTCCTCCCTTCGCTCTTTTGCTTCCTCTCCTGCATTCAGTAAAGACGAGCACCTGCTAGGGGCAGGCACAGGAGACAGTGCAGCCAGGAGGCCGGCATTAGCCTTTCCAGATGCCGGCACGTAACAGGTGCTTCATGTCAGACTTAGAGTGAAACGGCCCCTAGAAATAGTGTCCCTTTAGGTAAGTTGCTGTTCCTTGTGTCTCCTTGTGTCTTCCCAGCATGATCAAGAGTCAGGCATCTTGCCCTAGCCGGTTTGGCTCAGTGGATAGAGCGTTGGCCTGCAGTCTGAAGGGTCCTGGGTTCGATTAGGGTCAAGGGTGCATGCCCAGGTTGTCGGCTCAATCCCAGTAATCTCCTGCCTCCTGCAGGAGGCAGTCCATCCTTGATTCTCTCTCATCATTGATGTTTCTATCTCTCTCTCCCTCTCCCTTCCTCTCTGAAATCAATAAAAATATATTTTAAAAAAAAAAGAGTCAGGCATCTTTAAGGGTCCTGAGCAGGGCAGGGACGTTGTCAGTTCCGCAGCTTACGAAGTTCACTCTGAGGGTGGAGGAGGGGTCTGATGGAGCAGGAGGACCCACCCCACGGTTTTCCTGCTCTTTCCAGCTTCGTGTTTCTGAGACGGTCTCTGAGCTGAGGCCCAGGGTCCACTCTGGAGGACCCTGCAGCCTCCTCATCTGCTTTGCCTTTGGCCACGTCCTTCCTCTTCTCCTTTGCACCCCAAGAGCAGCCTGGTTCAGTCCCTTTTACTGGCTCTAGCAAAGGGTACTTTTAAAAGATCAAGTTGGAATTGAAGGCAAAAAGGATGACTAGATGAGTTTTTATAAGTTTTGATGCAAATTTTTTCTTAATACAACATGATATATTGAAAAGGGCCTAGGTCAGGATGATGGTTCTCAAATTCTGCTGAATATTGAAGTCACCTGGGCAGCTTTTAGAAACCCTCAATCACCAAGGACTCACTGCCAACCAATCAACTCAGAGTGTCCGGTGTGGGAGTCAGGCACAGATGTCCACTGTGCAGCCCGTTTGCGAGGGAGCCGCTGGCCTGGAGAGGGACACTAGCTTCCCGCCTCAGCCGCGCACAGACAGCGGTGAGACCCCCGGACAGCTCTTCCCTCCCAGGCTCCGTTCTCATCTGCGATGATGCAGTGCTGTAGCTCCGACATTATATCTAACTCACAAATCACTCACTTAGGGCCCAAGAATTAGAGACACACAGAAAACCTAATTGAATCCCACACTTACTAGAAGAAACAACAGCTTTGATGATGGGAGAACAGAAATAGTGCTACAGTCATTAACATTTTCTCTAGCTCTCCTCCTCTCATTACCCTCTATCCATTCAGTTGCAAATATTCTATAGAAGGTTCATCACTAGTTCACATTTACCATTAAGTTGTATCCAGTAGAAACACCCTCCACAGCACATTCAAATAAGGACTATTCCAGTGGTTCTCAACCTTGGCCGCCCATTCGAATCGCCTGGGAATCCTAATATGTCTGCTCCCCTTGGTGCTATGTGTTTTAACCAAGGTCACCTCTCCAAGAAAGGTTGTTTCCCCAGGTAGGGATTTTTCCCTGAAGTTAGGGAGGGAATAAAACCCCTTAACTAAGTGCCAGGCGGGTAGTTAATCACTTTAACTAAGAACAATCACACTTAAGCTACATAAGTGGAATGGAGATAAGAAACGCCCCTAACCTTTGGAATAGAAATTGATAGGATTAAAATCAACTGGTATAAATACAGATGTAACAAGACAACAGGAGAGAGAACCTAGAAGACAGAACCTAGCGAGAGAACCTGGCTGAAGAACCTAGGGACAGAACCTAGAGACAGAACCTAGCAAGAAAACATGGCAACAGAACCTGGCTACAGATCTTGGCTGGAGAACCTAGACAGAACATGGCAAAAGATCCTGGAGAGAACCTGTACACAGAACTTGGCTG